AGCGATCCATTAGATTGTGGGTGGCTTATGGGTGGCTTACGCTTGAAAATGTCAATTTTATATCGTAGAGTTGACAGAGGTCTTTGAGTAAGGCGTTGTTGAATTCACCTCCACAATCACACACATTCTCAAAGGTTTGCCGTAATATTGGAAGAATACTAGTAGGGTGTTAACAATTGTGGACGCCTTTTTGTCTGAGATTGGGTAGGCTTGAGTGAATTTGGTAAGTTCATCCCTAACGCTTAGGGCATAGTTACGAACTGGGAATTCAAAAAGGTCAATGTTTATCCATTCAAATGGGGTTTTGGGAGTCTCAGTGATAACGAGAGGAGAACTAAGATTTTTTCCTACAGATTTTGACTTTTTGGCAGATTTCACAGGCTCTGATGAATTTCTCAACATCTTTGGTTAAACCTTGCCAGGAGTATTTGTCTTTAATCCTTCTAACGGTTTCATTGATTCCACGATGTAAATTTGTTTTTCCAGTATGATATTGATCCAGGATAATTGGAATTTGGTCTTGATCTGGGGGTTTTGACGATATTTTGGCATATCTTAAGCTTAATGTCTTTTGCGGCAAATATGAAGGGAAATATTTCAAGAATAGGTAATTCTAGATTGTTTTCTATGCAAAAGGTTTTTTCAGGATCAAATTCGTTTTGACATTTGAAAAGCGAGTGAAAGAGGGACTATTCTCTCATTTTTGCAAGGAATGGGAATTATGAAGTATTTACGTGCCTTTACAGATTTGCTGGATAAAATGTTAACTTGATTGGGTTGAAAATCGAAATTTTCCTCGAATAGATCATCTATACTTTTGTAATGTTAGTCTGTTAGTTTGGTTTGCCAAAAGAATGTCACAATATTTTTGTGAGACTTATCCAGAAGTTGTGGGTTGGAAATCTCTATCTTTGAGTAGTCAATAATTGATCTGGTTTTGTAGAGATTTACGAAGGAGTTGTATTCTTCCTCAATTAGGGTTGTTTCATCATTGTTTTCAATTTCGACGATTGAAATTTCTTGTTGTTGTTGTTGACTTGTAGAGGGGCGGTTTCTTATATCGTCAATATCGGGTTCTTCTTCGTTAGAAGCGAGTACGTGAATTTTGGAACCTAAATCTGAACAATCTTTAAAGTGAACTTTGTTGACCAATCAGAAACAACTACTCCGAGGGCAAATACCCCTACCGGCATTGAACTACACTGATTGGTCTGAGCTTTCGTTGGCAATGAAAATTGTTTGAAAGTTTTTTCAGGTAATGACCAACGTGCAAATCAGGGACAAGAGTCCCTGTTTTGAATGCTGAGGAGAATATTGTCCATGACTCTTTGGAATGTAAATGGGGCATTTTTCAATCCAAAGGGCATACGAACAAATTCGTAATGGCCCTTTTCTACGGAAAAAGCGGTTTTCTAGACATGCTTGGGGTCTACTTCTATTTGGTGAAAACCTGAGGCTAGGTCAAGGGTGGTAAAATATTGACATTTTTCCAATTGATCCAGAAGATCGGAAATATTAGGCAGCGGGTATTTGTCGTCTACAGTAAGTTCGTTGACTTTACGGTAGTCGATTACGACGCGCCATTTGAATTTGCCTGAAGCATCAAGTTTCTTAGGAACGACCCAGACGGAAGAAGACCATGGAGATACAGAATGGCGAATTATGCCTTGGTCTAGCATTTTGGTAACTTGGGATTTGACTTCTTCTTTGTGGATTTGGGGGTACCTGTAAGATTTGGTATACACAGGCTTCGCATTATTGGTGTCAATAGGGTGTTTAATTTCACTAGTAAATGTGAGCGTGTCACCTTCCAGGTAGAAAATGTCGGAAAAGTTCAGGCATAAGTTGGTAATTAGTTCTTTTTCTTCGTCGTTTAAATGTTCTGTACGAAGTTCATTTTGTATGGACATTTGCTTATCATAAGTATCGTCATACTCGAGGTTAGATTTGTTAAAACTTAGAATGGTTTTTTGAGTTTCACTTTCTGAGACAAATGTTTCGATAGACAAGTTCGAAAACTCTACAGTTTTGTCCATGGCGTTAATATTTACAATTGAGGTTAAAAATTCACCTTGTTCATTAACTTTGTTCATTAACTTTTACTAACGCATTAGGTAATTTGACTTTCTCTTTTTCTTGAGAAAGGAGTAAAGCATCTGTGTTGGATAGATTACACTTTAGTTTAAAGATCTTTTCATTTCTAGCTTCTATTGATATTTTGTTGAGAATTGTTTGAGTGTTGTTTGGTTTTGTATTATTAGGGTAGTTATCTTCAGTAACTTTATGAAGAGGGATAGTTTTGAAATTAGATACAAGTTCTTTAGCTTTCAAATCTTTCACACATTGATAATGTTCTAGGAAATCCAAACCTAAAATTCGATCGAAATCCATATCCAAGTTGTAAATATATACTTTGTGAGGATCTTGGAGGGTGAACGGTACAAGTGTTGATTCACGGATGTGGAGTTTTTGATCGATGATACCTTGAATGGTTACGTTTTCTTCGGAACGATAGGGGAATTTATGGACTGTATTTTCTTTAAAAATTGAAATGCCTGCACCTGTATCAATGAGTAATCTGAATTTATTGGAAGCATCATGAATGTAGTACAGATTTTTCGAATTAACAGTAAGAAGTGAGTTTAAAGAAATGCTTGTTCCAGAACATTGAGGTTCGGATTCATGTTGTCTAGATTCAGAAGTTGTATTTGAGTCTCGATATTTGAAGTCTGATCTTGAGGGGTATTTTCTGGCGGATGGTGATTGGTAAAAGGTACCAGAAAATCCTGATAATTTTCAGCATTAGTGAACTGTTCAGCATATTCGTTTTCTTCATAACTGGCATCCTATTCATAATGAGGGCTTTCAGCGTACTCAAATTCGTTGGCATATGTTTCAGCGAGATTTTAGTTAGACCTCGGCTGCGCCTCGGTCTAACTAAAATCTCTCGACAGTAATGAAACACTTTCCACCTCAGTATGTAATATACTGTTACAAGCTATTTTGTGTTGTAAGTTATAGAGAAATGTGTCCTGAACAACCTCCCAGAAGTCCCATGAGATTCGGTTATGGCAAGTTAGAAAAATATGGTCGCCATCTTGTTTTTTTTTTTTAGTTTTCTGCGAATAACTCCGTATTTTTTGAAAAAAAATTTAAGAGACTTTCTTTAAAGAGCTTGAAAAACTGCATCTAAAAAGATGATATTTAGCGAAGTTAATCACATAAGTTAACCACAACATCTTAAAAACTAGCTTTATTATTGAGAACAAGATATAATATATAAAAAAAATTAAAAATACAAATTTCACACAAAAATCTTACTTGATAACAAATGAGTTGAAATTAAAGCTAACTCAAGCATACAGTTTTCTTCTTCTTCTTCGTTTGGCTTCAGGTATTATACATTTGTGGCCCCAACTGATTTCAAAACATTGGCCACACTTAAAAGAACACTTTAATCCAAGCTTTATACAAGAACAGTTTTCACCACAAGTTCCATCCTTACAATTACAAAAGACCATTTTTGGAATATCTTGTGGGGCTATTTCTTTTGTATACCTTTCTGGAACAAGACTTCCATATTTATCCTTCTTCCAATCACACTCCAAAGGATTAAGCTTTTGACCAGTCCATGCTGGTTCAATAACTCTCTAACCGGCCTATCGATCACTAAGGAGTCTAAGGACGAGATTGAAAGTGCCATACCTAATTCAAAAAATAACAAAGCGGCTGGCCCAGATGAAATCCCTTCAGAAATACTTAAGCTCCTGGATGAAAGAGGCAAAACAGCACTGCATAAATTATTTAACTCTACTTATGAGACAGGTCACTATCCCAAACAGTGTTTGTGCTCTACTTTTATACCTCTGCCTAAGAAGATCAATGCAAGAAAATGTGAAGATCATAGACTTATTAGCCTCATGAGCCATACTTTGAAAATATTTCTCAAAATCATACACCAGAGAATTTATAAGAAATGTGAAAGAGACATAAGCGACTCGCAATTTGGGTTCAGACAGGGGTTAGGTACACGAGAAGCGAAAGTCGTAATAAAAGTGCTTGTCCAAAACTGCAACGATCAGAGAAAAAATGTGTGCCTATGTTTCATAGATTACGAAAAGGCATTCGATCGCGTACAACACCACAAATTATTGCAGCTTTTTAATAAGCTTGATGTAGACCAGAAAGACATTTGATGCATTGAAAACATATACTGGAACCAAATAGCGCAAATCAAATTAGGCAATAATATATTCAACACCATACAAAAAGAGCAAATTAACGGGCTCAAATATCAACACCAAAAAAACAAAGTTTATGATTATCTCTAGAAACCCAAATATGTTTGAAAACTCCACCATAACATTTAACGCAAGGCCCATAGAGAGAGTAGATACATTCAGGTACTTGGGCGTCTAGCTTTTCGAAGACTGGATATCAGACAAAAAAATAAAATGTCGCATTGAACAAGCTCGACAGGCATTTTTCACAGGCAGGTTTCGAAGAGTGCTTACCTGTTCCGATTTTGACCTTAACCTAAGACTCCGATTCATTAAATGCTACGTTTGGTCAGCGTTTCTCTACGGTATGGAAGGTTGGACATTAAATGTGACTGCAAATTAGAGGCTTTCGAGATGTGGCTGTATCGCAGAATCCTTAAGATTCTTTGGACGGCTAGACTGACAAACGAAGAAGTCCTTAGACGTGTCAACAAACAACATGAACTGTTTGAATTGATTATTTGGGACATATAATGCGAAACACAAAATACCAATTCTTGCACCAATACACATTGCAAGGAATAGACAAGCAATGAAAAATGTTATCGCAAATATCCATTAGTGGATACGCATTAGAAGAAGAAGAAGAAAAAGAAGAATACCAGATAAATAAATAAATAATAATATAAATAAAGATAAAATTATTGATTCCAAACTGAGCAAATTATATCTAATTTAAAATTTCAACTATATAAGGTGTTGCTTATTTCTTTATTTTAGATGTTGATTGTCGATACAGCAACCACTTTGCTGGGGAGCAAAGAAATGGCCTGTCGCTTACCACTTATCGAATACCTATCAGAGAAAATGTGCGGACTTTGTTATGAAAGAGCCTGGTACGCTAAATTGGGAGGATGTATAGCAATCCAATTCATGTTTGAGAAGGTAAAAACAAGAAATTTCTCAAAAACATTAAAATATTGTTGATTGTTTCAGTGCGCCTTGAAATGGGTCTACGAGCACATGTTTACGTTCCTTAAGGCCCTTTTATTTGTAATGATGGATTTGACTGGGGAAGTATCTAGTGGTGCATTGGACATGGCTAGAGAAAATTTGCAAAAAATGCTCATAGTTTTGGTTACACCACCACCACCTGGAAGTGACGAAAAGACTAGAAATTTGCAAACTGATGCTTTGCAAAAAGTAACTCACGAACTAGTTAGGTAAGTGAGTCGTTTAATGAATTATCACAAATTTTCATATCATTTAATAACATGAACTATTTTCTAGGCAAGTTAGTAGTCCTCATGTGATGCTTAGAGAACAAGCGATGGCCAGTCTTAAATTACTCGCAAAAGAACTAAATAAAAGTGTAACGGAAATAATGGAGCCATTTAAAGCAGTTTTAGCCGATATGGTTCCTCTCAAGAACCATTTTCTTATGCACCAACCAGCTATTGCTCAGATGGGTCTTATGGACGGCAACATGTTTTGCACAACTCTGGAGCCACGTCTATTTACTCTGGACCTCAAAATTCACGAACATAATTTGTTTATTACTGATATGCTGCAATTGTGCAAAATGGAAGATTCTAGATTATCTACGTACTTTTGCTACAAGTCCATTTCTAATTTCACTCCCTTAAGACAGAGCGCTTTGAGAGTCTTAGCTTCTTGTTACTATTTAGAGGATGTTAGAGAACAAATATTTGATGTTTTATATAAAGCTTTAGAAAAACAAAATCCAGAATTACAAGAAACCGCCTTCGAATGTATGAAAAAATTCATTTCCGGATCTACTGTGTATAAGGATCTGTTTAATCCCAGAGTTCGGCCACTTTTGCTCACTTTAGGTGACGAAAAAGTAGTCACTTTGAATGGCTTCAAAATGTTGTCATATTTAACGCAGCTTTTCCCTAATGAGTTTAATGAGAAGCTTTGCGAGCAACTATATTTGATTTTGGAGAAAGTGTTGGAAAAACTGAGCACTGCTTACAAAGCAGGAACTGGTAAGACTTTTTATATTTTTATTTAAATTTTGGACTTGTTTAATACTTTATCTAAACTCGCTCACTATTATCTCACACTGTTGGAAACTGTGCAAATAGTTCGATTTAGTGTAGACAATATGAATAATTTAATTATTTTATTTTTCCTCAGAGGGTGGTAATGGTAATGGTACTAACGGCGGACTACCTAAAAAATCGGAAAACGAAGAAAAAGTTGTGATTATAATCAGTATTTTCCATCAAACACCGGCAGCAACCAGTAAATTTGTATTAAAATTGACGCAATTGATTTTGCAGGCGGAACAGGCTATGTGCATTGGTAAGTTAATTATAGTGCGACTAAAACCCCAAAAGTGATGATTTCCCAATAAATTTTTTCTTATATGAACAATTTTCTAGAAGCCAGTAGCCCATTTAGAGCCACACTAATGAAGTTCCTTCAAAGATACCCCGCTGAAACTCTGACATTATTTTTGGATGATAATTTCATCAAAGACAAACAATTCAGTCGCTACTTAGAATATATATTAAAACACCGAGACGGCAAACCTTTTAGAGATTACATTCAAACCAGCATGATACGGAGGCTTATAATAATGATACAATCAAATTACGTTAGTATAAATTTGGGACTGCAAGAAGGAAATGACTTACAAAAAAATGAGCTTCAGTATCAGGCCATAAGGATTATATCAATTTTGATTAAGTTTGACGATCAGTGGTTGTCTACGCAACCAGATTTAGTGGAATCCTTAAAACAAATTTGGTGTGATGATTCTTATCAAGAACGTCATAAAAATGTAGAGCAATTAGAATATACTCATTGGAAAGAGCCGAAACTAGTCGTCAAAATACTATTGCATTATTTTTGTCACTATCCCAACAATATCGATTTATTGTTTCAACTATTGAGGGCTACAACCGACAGATTTATACCAGATTTTCAGTTTTTGCGTGACTTTTTGGAAAATACTGTAGCACAAAATTACACTGTGGAGTGGAAACGTTCGGCTTTTTTCAGATTTGTGGATCTGTTTTCTTTGCCAGAAATGTCTCAGGAACTAAAAGCCAAGGTAAAGTGGACTTTGAAAATATAAATAATTACTTAATAATATAATTCTAGGTTCTACAATTAATTCTAATTCCGTGCTTTTCCATAAGTTTCGAACGTGGCGAAACTATTAAGTTAATCGGAGGCCCTCCAATGCCATATCAGGTTAGTTTTAACATTCTATTTTTTCAGTAAATCATTTACCCTTTGCAGGATAACACTGAAAACGTAGTCTCAGTATTCATAAACAAGCTCATAGATCCTGACAGTCCTTATCCGCAAGCAGATTGCGTACGAATCTCTCTGCTTCAGTTTTCCTGTTTGCTGGTAGAACAAGCCAGTTCTCATATACACGATCACGATGCCAACAATAAGGCGCAAGGTTACAAATTGAGACGACTGATGACGTTTGCCTGGCCTTGTTTATTGGTTGAAAATTGTGTGGATCCAGCTACAAGGTAAATTTCTTTATTGGCCTTCCACTGTTTAGCAAGTGGACTCTTGATTTGTAAGTCAGATATTTAGGGTTTTTTGGGGAAACATTAATAAGAGATTTGAATTGATTGAGCCGAGACTTTTAAATTTTCAAATTCAAATCAAAATAGGCTCTATTGTCAGACAAGTGGAAAACATTTTGTTGACAAAGCAAGATCCTGAAAATTAAAACTAAAATGTATTAAAATTGTAACAGCGAGCTCTAGTTTCATATAAAGTACATAAAGACAAAATTCTCACAGACCAAACACAAAATAAAATAGCATGAAGGAACCATAGTTATCCATTTATTTATAACTGATCACACAATACTATCACTCAAGAATTCCTTCACAGAATAGTAAGCCTTAGAAAGCAGCAATATTTTTGTTTCTCTCTTAAATTTCCTTCGACAGCTCAACTTCCGTGAACGGAATAGGATATGGTTGATCAGAATTTTGCTATTATAAATCATTGATTTTTTTAATAAGAGTTGACGAGGGAATCAGCGGAAATGTCACTGCAGCTTCTGGTATTGCCACCATAATTTAAAATGCAGTATCTGCAAAACTGACATTTCGAGAAATCGATAAGAGAAGGTATAGTACCTGTTTCTTCTTTGCTCAATTGGTTTATATTAAATTTTTTTGTGCATAGGGGTTACTTTTTCCAAATATTTAGGGAAAAATAATCGAAAAAACCGATATCTGTTCAAATTTAAAGAATATGGCACTTACTTCACAAGGCAATATTTTCTTCAAATTTTTGAGGCCGAAATGCAGTAACTAACAAATTTTGTTTTATTTTTGCCAATTTTTTAAACATATGTAAATACATATAATAATGTTTTTATTTCAAAATTTCACTTCTCTCATTTATTTAAATTAAATCAAAATTTTGTTTTGTTTTTTCCGTGGAAAAAAGAAACAACGCATACCGCAAATGAAAATTATAGGAGTTTTCTTGATTTTTGAGTTAAGAGCCCCATACACTACGATAAAACACGACAGTTTTCATCGCCACGATAAAACACGTCGTTCTAAAACCGAAGTGTGTAATAGAAAAACACGACGGTTTTCTACAGGGCCTCACAGACTACGAGGAAACACGACGGTTTCCATCGCCACGATGAAACACGTCATTCCAAAACCGAAGTGTGTGGTAGAAAACCGTCGTTCAAAAAGGTACTAATTAGCACCTAAAAAGCACCTAATTATTATATAGATCCCGAAGTTTTTTTCCATTCGGACACACCAACAAGTAAATGTAAAGCTAGCAGTCCCCTAATAATTAGAAAAAAATCTGTAACTCAGTTAATAATCAATCAATTCTATTTTTTCTTCGACTATTTAGGAGTACCTAAAAGCACCTAATTCTGATACAAATATTTATATATATTTTTCACTATAGGAGACTACTAGCTTTCATAAACCTAGCAATCCCTTAGTTTTTTTTTTATTTTCTCAAAAACTAGAGGAGCACCTAATTTTTAATTAGAGGCCCTAATTAGCACCTAAAAAGCACCTAATTATTATATAGATCCCAAAGTTTTTTTCCATTCGGACACACCAACAAGTAAACGTAAAGCTAGCAGTCCCCTAATAATTAGAAAAAAATCTGTAACTCAGTTAATAATCAATCAATTCTATTTTTTCTTCGACTATTTAGGAGTACCTAAAAGCACCTAATTCTGATACAAATATTTATATATATTTTTCACTATAGGGGACTACTAGCTTTCATAAACCCAGCAATCCCTTAGTTTTTTTTTTATTTTCTCAAAAACTAGAGGAGCACCTAATTTTTAATTAGAGGCCCTAATTTGCACCTAAAAAGCACCTAATTATTATATAGATCCCGAAGTTTTTTTGCCATTCTAACAGACCAACAAGTAGACGTAAAGCCAGCAGTCCCCTAATAATTAAAAAAAAATCTGTAACTCAGTTAATAATCAATCAATTCTATTTTTTCTTTGACTATTTAGGAGCACCTAAAAAGCACATAATTCTCATACAAAGAAGAAATTTGAAAAAAATATTTGTCACTATAGGGGACTACTAGCTTTCATAAACCTAGCAATCCCTAGTTTTTTTTGATTTTCTCAAAAACTAGAGGAGCACCTAATTTTTAATTAGAGGCCCTAATTTGCACCTAAAAAGCACCTAATTATTATATAGATTCCGAAGTTTTTTTGCCATTCTAACAGACCAACAAGTAGACGTAAAGCCAGCAGTCCCCTAATAATTTTAAAAAAATCTGTAACTCAGTTAATAATCAATCAATTCTATTTTTTCTTTGACTATTTAGGAGCACCTAAAAAGCACATAATTCTGATACAAAGAAGAAATTTGAAAAAAATATTTGTCACTATAGGGGACTACTAGCTTTCATAAACCTAGCAATCCCTAGTTTTTTTTGATTTTCTCAAAAACTAGAGGAGCACCTAATTTTTAATTAGAGGCCCTAATTAGCACTTAAAAAGCACCTAATTATTATATAGATCCCGAAGTTTTTTTGCCATTCTGACACACCAACATGTAAACGTAAAGCCAGCAGTCCCCTAATAATTAAAAAAAAATCTGTAACTCAGTTAATAATTAATTAATTCTATTTTTTCTTGGACTATTTAGGAGCACCTGAAAAGCACCTAATTCTGATACAAAGAAGAAATTTGAAAAAAATATTTTTCACTATAGGGAAATACTAGCTTTCATAAACCTAGCAATCCCTTAGTTTTTTTTGATTTTCTCAAAAACTAGAGGAGCACCTAATTTTTAATTAGAGGCCCTAATTAGCACCTAAAAAGCACCTAATTATTATGTAGATACCGAAGTTTTTTTGCTATTCTGACACACCAAAATGTAAACGTAAAGCCAGCAGTCCCCTAATAATTAAAAAAAAATCTGTAACTCAGTTAATAATTTATCAATTCTATTTTTTCTTGGACTATTTAGGAGCACCTAAAAAGCACCTAATTCTGATACAAAAGAAATTTTTTGAAAAATATTTTTCACTATAGGGGACTACTAGCTTTCATAAACCAAGCAATCCCTTAGTTTTTTTTTGATATTCTCAAAAACTAGAGGAGAACCTAATTTTCAATTAAAGGCCCTAATTAGCACCTAAAAAGCACCTAATTCTGATACAAAAGAAATTTTTGGAAAAATATTTTTCACTATAGGGGACTACTTACTAGCTTTCATAAACCTAGCAATCCCTTATTTTTTTTTTTGATTTTCTCAAAAACTAGAGGAGCACATAATTTTTAGAGCCCCCAATTAGCACCTAAAAAGCACCTAATTATTATATAGTTCCCGGAGCTTTTTTCCACCTTGGGACTGCTGGGTTTATAGACCTCCTCCGTCGACAGGTTGAAACCTCAGAGGAACCTTGACCAGGTTTGTCATTATTTGCAACTGAATTTACGAAATAATCATTAAGTTCATCAGGGTTATCTAAATGTTGGGGAAGATTAATTATAATTTATTTTCCTAAGAGATCTATAGAAAAAAAATGGTCTGCAATTCCCGCATCAGTAACACACGTCTCCGCAATAATCTTCTATGTTTGTAAAAATTAAGTATTAAAGAAAGTGATGTTGAAGACACCCTGGTTGGTTCGCTTATTAATTGATTTATACCAAAGGTTGAAAAAATATATCTCAGCTGGGAAGCACAAGTTGAATTCAAATCCAAAAAATCAATATTGAAATCACCAACACGGTTGTCTGTATACAGGGTGTCCCACGGTGGATGGCGTATTAGACGTTTATGGAGAACTAAAAAGCGGAACATTTTGAAAATTTGGCAACCGGGATAAATGACCGTGATCTACACTTTAAAAATATTTTTGTTTATGCGGTGTTGCCGCTTCTACTCTAAACCAGTGGCAACATCGCTATTTTAAATGAAACACCCGGTATTTAATTGCATATTTGGATTCTACATAAAATTCTGAGCAGATTTCATGTGATATACCCTATACCTAAGTTCAACTGTTTTGGAAATATTGACAGTTGAAAATTGACTTTTTGCAACTTTGACAGGCTGTAAAACCTGAACGGTTAATTTTAGAGAAAAACCGATTTTACATTCCTATCTTAGATTTTTATAAACTATCATTTGACACCAATTTTGAATTTAATCCATGATTAAAAATTCCAATTAAATTTAATCTCCGGTTAAATTCAAAGTTGGTGTCAAATGATAGTTTACGAAAATCTAAGATAGGAATGTAAGATCGGTTTTCCTCTGAAATTCACCCTTTAAATCATACAGCCGGTCAAAGCTGCAAAAAGTCAATTTTCAACTGTCAATATTTCCAAAACAGATGAACTTAGGTATAGGGTATATCACATAAAATCTGCTCAGAATTTTACGTAGAATCCAAATATGCAATCACATACAGGGTGTTCCATTTAAAATAGCGATGTTGCCACTGGTTTAGAGTAGAAGCGGCAACACCGCATAAACAAAAATATTTTTAAAGTGTAGATTATGGACGTTTATCCCGGTTCCCAAATTTTCAAAATGATCCGCTTTTTAGTTCTCTATAAACGTCTAATACGCCATCTACCGTGGGACACCCTGTATATTGCCCCTAACAAAAATTCTATCGCGCAACTTCATTTTAACCCATAGACATTCAATGCAATCAAATGTTCCCGAAAATAAGATATCACACTTTATGTTACTCTGAACGTATATAGAGCAACATCACCTCCACGCCTGTTAGAGCGGTTTTGTTGAAAAAAGTTATATGAATTTAAGATAACCACTTCATCATAAATACCCGCATTTAGCCACGTTTCTGTCACACCCACAAAATCATAACACTTAGTGAAAAAATGTTGCTGGAAATTGGCCACCAGTGACCTAACATTAATATGAGAAATAAAAAGTCTCGACCCTGTAGTAGAAAGTGCCATATTAACAGGGGACAGAAAAAGGAATAAAGGAAATGAGGGAAAAACAAGCTTAACTTA